TCATGTCAACTTTGTAGCCAATTGGTTACCCATGCTGACTTCGGTTCTGATCACCTTCCAGTAACTTTTGAAATATCCCAAGAAATAATTTGTAATCCCAACAGCTCTACTTTCAATTACCATAGAGCTGATTGGGAGCAATATCGAACATTTATGGAATATAACTTCGATCCAAACATTCATTTGCAAACCAAAGATGAAATTAATTATGCTCTTGAATCTCTGACTACTTGTATAGTTGAAGCAAGAGCTGCCTCAGTACCAAAATGCGAGGTTAAATTCGATTCAATTATAATAGACGATGATCTTCAGCTCTTGATCCGTCTTAAAAATGTCCGTAGGAGACAATATCAAAGAACACGCGATCCTGCCATGAAGGTTATCTGGCGGGATTTGCAAAAACAAATTAAAAAGCGATTCTCTGCCCTGAGGAACAAAACTTTTGAAAATAATATTTCTAAATTAGACCCGAGTTCCAAACCCTTTTGGAAACTCACAAAAATTTTGAAAAAACCTCAAAAGCCTATTCCAGCGCTTAAAGAAGGTGGTAAAATTTTGATCACAAATTTGGAAAAAGCTCAGAAACTTGCTAAGCAATTCGAGAGTTCCCATAATTTCAGTTTGGGTCTTACTAGTCCTATTGAGAATCAGGTTGCTCGGGATTTTCTGAATATTTTCTCTCGGGAAAATATTTTTGATGATTCCTGGGGGACTGATTTGGACGAAGTAAGGTCTATAACTAAAAATTTTCAAAATATGAAAGCTCCAGGTGATGATGGAATTTTCTATATCCTCATCAAAAAACTCCCAGAGAGTACCTTGTCTTTCTTGGTAAAATTATTTAACAGATGTTTCCATTTGGCATACTTTCCTGATAAATGGAAAAATGCAAAAGTTGTTCCAATTTTGAAGCCGGATAAAAATCCAGCTGAAGCTTCTAGCTACCGTCCAATAAGTTTGCTTTCTTCAATAAGTAAACTTTTTGAAAAGATAATTTTGAATAGAATGATGCTTCACATCAATACGAACTCAATTTTTGCAGATGAGCAGTTTGGATTTCGCCATGGGCATTCAACTACTCATCAACTCTTAAGAGTTAACAATTTAATTCGTTCAAACAAATCTGAAGGCCACTCAACTGGAGTTGCTCTTCTAGACATAGAAAAAGCATTCGACAGTGTTTGGCATGAAGGTTTGATTGCTAAATTGAAAAAGTTTAATTTTCCACTTTATATTATGAAATTAGTTCAAAATTATTTAACTGACAGAACTCTTCAAGTAAATTATCAAAATTCCAAATCTAATCGACTACCTGTTAGGGCAGGAGTTCCTCAGGGTAGCATTCTTGGGCCTATATTGTATAACATTTTCACTTCGGACCTCCCTGATTTGCCTCAGGGTTGCCACAAATCTTTGTTCGCTGATGACACAGGCATTTCCGCTAAAGGAAGAAGTCTTCGTGTTATTTGCAGCAGACTTCAGAAAAGTTTAGATATTTTCTCTTCTTATTTACAAAAATGGAAGATTTCTCCCAACGCTTCCAAAACTCAACTTATAATATTTCCACATAAGCCTAGAGCTTCGTTTTTAAAACCTAGTAGTAGTCACATAGTCACTATGAACGGAGTTCCAATTTCCTGGTCAAACCAAGTGAAATATCTTGGATTAATACTTGACCAAAAATTAACTTTTAAAGATCACATTGAGGGCATTCAAGCCAAATGTAACAAATATATTAAATGTTTGTATCCTCTTATAAACAGGAAATCCAAACTTTGCCTGACGAATAAACTTCTAATATTTAAACAAGTTTTTAGACCGGCCATGCTTTACGCTGTGCCAATATGGTCTAGTTGTTGCACTACCAGGAAAAAAGCACTTCAAAGGATTCAGAACAAAATTCTGAAGATGATTTTGAAGTTGCCTCCCTGGTTCAGTACAACCGAAGTACATAGAATTTCGAATGTTGAGACTTTAGCACAAATGTCCAACAAAATAATTAATAATTTCAGGCAAAAATCGTTGCAATCCTCAATTGCAACGATTAATTCCCTTTATACTTAGATAAGATTTAGTTTTAGTTTTTAGTTTTAAGATATCAATTGTTATACTGACATGCAGGTTAAAAAACCTGTTTAAAATACTGAATTGCCAAGACATGAACAATGTAAAAACACTTAGATATATATCATAACAATTAAGGCTGGTACGTTACTGCAGTAACTGGAGCACCTAGGTTAAAATGAAATGTAATTTATTTTGAATTTGGAACAAATAAAGAGTTAAAAAAAAAAAAAAAAAAAAAAAAAAAAAGAAAAAAAAACTGATTTGAAATCGACTGGGCACATTGTGTTCGCGGCATTTCTGCAGAACCTACCGTTTCGCGAAAATCAGGCCCGTCGTAGCGCGGGTACTCATGAGGCCCCCACGAACTCTTTCGCTATCGGTAATGCAGAGCGGCATAGTATTCGGGAGAGAACCTGAGGTACGCAGTGCTCATCAGTACGATAATGCGCTAGTTGCAGCCATCCAACTTGTCGGCTTTTTTGTTGATAGAACTTACGATATGGTCCATTTCATCCACTCTTCCGATAATATAACCTCCTCTCAAATCGGGGTAATAACTCATTTACCTCCTCTGACGATAATATGTAAGGCGCTGTCCATATACCACGTGGATAATTTAGGTGGAGGGGAGGTTGGTTGACGGATGTCCGCGGTCTATACATTTTTTAAATAAAATTGTATGAAAGAATATCCACGCAGGTTAAATAACTCTTAAAATCTGTCAACTTGTAATGTGGACAATCCTTAAACGTATTACCGAAGCCGACATTTAACCTAGTTGATCAACGTTAGCAGCTATATTATTTTTCTCCATTTAACCTAACCTATTAAGTTTCAATCTCCCAAAAACTGACCACGTTGTTAATGGACAGCCCCTATCCTAACCTATTAAGTTGCAAGTACATAGATATCCAAGTAACTGAAAACAGTCCCGATCCGAAAGGATCCTTGAAACCTCCGCTTTTAGCTGGTATGTTATAGAGCTTACCCGCAACACATTAGATTTTATTGAAAATTATCTGCTTTCTGTTCACAGCAAAAAATTAATTTTAAAATCTCATCAAAGTGGTGTAATATTACTTGCCAAAAAGGAAAAAAAAAATATCATTAGTACAGTGCTTGAACTGACATTACGCTGCTTTTACTACATTTGTTTATTTTTTTGTCTTTAAAAATTACATGAGATTTTCGACATGATTTAAGTGCATCCTCTTGGATGTAATATTAATTTTTTTTTTTTTTTGCTATGTTGAGAATATTATTGTTATTGTCAATGAATAGTCACATCAATCATTTTTTTAAATTTCCTTCGGCATCACTTAGGTGGCCCAACTTTTGATGAGAAGTTCTCTGTGCTTTAAATCACTAAACCTGTGAGTTCAGTTTAAGGACACGGCTAACGGAAGCCTCCACTCATACTATTTGATTGTCCAGTCCACTACGCTTTTTATCGCGCACATAACTAATGATCTACACAATATACGAAACTGAACATGCTATTCTTGGTTTACTCTAAGGAAGCAAGCATTTAGTTGAATTATAGGATCTGCACGGCTTCTAAATTATTATTGAATATATATACCCACAAATCTGTAGTGGGCAGATGAGGCTACACTGTATTTTTCCTCAAACAGAGGTAAGTAACCAAGCGTCTCCATTGGAAGCATATCACAATGTAGCGCTAGGTATGTCTTCACTCTCTGCATAGACCGCTCTATACGATTCGTTTCGGAGTTCAACTCACTTGAATTGCGCATTTTTGCAGTAAGATTTTGTCGTTAGCGGCGCCGGTGGTGTAGTGGTAGCGTGATTGCCTCTCACCCCAAAAGGCCTGATTGCAATTCTAGTCGGCGCCGCCGGGATTTTCTGAGGCATAAAATCATATCATACTCATGCCTTCCTTGGGACGTGAAGTAAAGTCGTTGGTCCCTGGTTCATGAGTTGATGGGTCGATAGGTAGAGTCCAGGTGAGGGAGCTGCCTCCCTGGCGTCGGTAGCATTGGTACTCAGTACGGAAAACAAGATCGACGGAAAACAAATCAAGGAAAAAAAAGTTTTTATCGTTGCTTATGTATCATTTCACGATACAGTTTGCGTCCATTTTTGGTACCTAACACATTCCAACGTTTTCAATTTGTTCTTTTTTTTTCAATACCATAGCGACTTTCATCCACTGGTTGGTTCAACATTTATCATTCTCTTCTTCTGAGATTTTTACGCTTCTTTTGCGAGCGTTCTGTTGGGTCTCAACTAGTGTTTGAGATGCAGTTTCACAGTTATTAATTGGTAGCTTTCTAAGCCAATCAATGCATGAATTTGTATATTGTGTGGCAAGCACAATGATATTATATGACCAGGGAAGTCAAGAAAATGTCCAACCCACCGTACCGGGAATCGAACCCGCCGCCTCCGGCTTGGTAATACCGTGTCTTTACTTAATACTCGTCTGTTTCTAGATAAAGATGAGAAAAGGCAGGAATAGTTAAATATAAACGATTTTCTTGGATCAAAATACACTCAAGATAGATCAAACTTCCTTTACCGTACCAAATGCTTTGTGATTGTTGTTGATGGTTTTCCGTTTACCGTTTAAAGTCCAATTTGTATTTGGTGGTTCTTCCCCGTTCTCATGTAAGTCTACATTTAATAATCTTTCATTAGAATACCTAGTTATTCAGAAATTCAAACTCGAAACTGTTCATATTTTTAGAAAGCAGAGACGTGTGAATTTTGAACGTTATAAAAAGTAGGTGATTGAACGCAATTAATATCTTAACATGTTTTGCTCTACGCGATGCTAATGACTCTATAGTAGGAATCATGGCACGATTATCAACAAAACCGAATAATTTGTAAGTCCAGAGGATTGAAAAGTAAGATGATTACTTCACTCTTATATATAGTAAAATAAAAATTGCAACTTAATATGCTACCTGTTCCCATTCTTCGTGGTTGCCAAACGAATTTGAAATCCAACGTGGAAAATTTCTATTCACGATCTGTAATGTTAATCATCAACTGATCCGGAGATTGCTGATTTCCACAAACGTAGGTATTTTAATAATCTGCAGTTATTTACTAGAACACTGTTTATAAAAAAAACACTGTCATACAAAAGCACCAATTATTCCACTTGAAGCAAACACTGGGCACAGAATCCTATCAAAGGTTATATCCCACCAAACACACTCTATTCCACAATTATTCCGACGCAACCGTTTCACTAGCAGCTCAAGGTAGAACCGATTGGTGTCACTTGCCCGATTGTTCCTGATCAACTGACTCCGGCTGTCCAGATTTCCCGCAATGGCACAGCCAGAAACTGTAGAAGCTGATTACCGACTGATGCTGTATTGACTTCATCACAATTCACATTTGCTACAGTTACCACTGGCATCAGCATCTCACTTCACCCGGAACGCCATGCTCTCTTCTCACCCCACCCACAAACAGTTTCCACCTCACGACGACGACTTTGCTGCTAGAGCAAGCATTCTCCCTCTGCTGTAGGTATATCCTTGCTCTCGAATCCTTATGTTCATGCTCACATCCCGCGTCACCGCTTTGGCTCTGACTGGCGCATCTACACAAAATCCAACACCAGTCAGTCATTTTCCTTTTACCTCCCGTACCCTCCACCGAACCGGCGCGGCATCACTTTTCCCTTTCCACGCTATCGGTGAGGCAAAAGTCCTTATGACAACGAGCGTGGTGGCTCACACCGACACTGTTCAAGCCAACCGCAGCATCCAACCAGCCAACCTCGGCAACCCATGATGAAGCACTGTTTCCAACTTCTTCTTTTTTACAACTCAATGTTGCAACTTTGCAACATACATAAAATAAAACATGTGACATTTATGTTGTACATACAGACGGAAGGCGTGGTCACGTGAGTTGAAATTCTCCATGCTGTGATTTTCACCGGGAAAGGATACAGCATACTGGAACTGCTCTCTCGAAGGGGCGGAGCGTTTCTCTTAAGTTTTACGTTACTACGCTCATTCATTCATTCATTCATAGAATTGATTTCAAGGACTCACGAACACAGGACCAATTTATGAGCTGCAACAAATACCACTGAACCGAAGAATGTGTACTACCAACATGGTGCTGCAAGGATATTTCTACTCAATATGCCACGGATGTACGAGAAGAACGAAAACAATCTGGTCAATTTTTTGGCTTTAGGTACTCCATTGTGTAGCTTTCGGTTGCCTTTTCAAGGGTACACGATTGAAGGATCATAGCGGGGTTGCTGATGAAAAAGAAATGCAATCCAGTTTATAGAAAGGTTAGTAGGTATGAACTGTACGTACTTTGCATACGTGCACAGTTGATTGGCACAAAACAGTTAAACATTGCAGCGTGACACATTTAGAAGCCATTGGAGCCGTATAGGGTACAGCACTATTTCGGCTTACCGTGAAGTGACACACCTCCGTTAGGTCAGTTTTTTGACAGCCTCGTAGACTTTTTTTACAGCATTCGTAATGTAATTCGTGAGCAAAGAATTTGTTGCATGAATGTTGGATATAGTAAGTATGTTTTAATTGTTTTTGACGCGTATGACGGAAATGGGTCCGATATGCTGAAATAGTGCTACACCTTACATCACTTTTTTTTTTTTGTTAATTACTTTATTTGTACAGGCTCAATCGAATAAACTTTACAGAGCCAAGTTATCATTTTCTTTATACATTATAAATGTCTTAAATCTAAAATTAAAGGATTGGAACCGATTACTCGCGGTCTTCTCGAGGTTAGTGGATGACAATTGTTTGGATCGGGAGAGGGAAAAGGAGATTTGGAATATGATTTATGATTCAAAAATTTCACTATTTCTAAAACAAATACTTAATCCTATCGACGTTATATCAACTCTGTAATTATACAATTATTACAGAAACAAATCAACAAAAAAAAATACACACACACATACAAAACACAAACTAAACACAAGGTTAATCAAACTTACAATCTATGGTTAATATTCTTCAAGAAAACATATATGAGTTGCATAAACTCCAGATCGCGTCTAGCCAAAATATCCCGAACTGGAACATTAGGTTGTCTACCTCGAGCCCGAAGAGAATCGTACAACTCGGATCTGACTCCACGGTGCTCAGCACATGACCAAATAATGTGATCTGCGTCCTGGTAACCTTGTCCACATTCACAGAGATTACTGTCCCCCAGCTCAACACGGAACAAGTGAGCGTTTAACGAGTAGTGATTGGACATGAGGCGAGACATCATACGAATGAAGTCTCGACCCACATCCAACCCCTTGAACCAAGGACACTTCGACACCTTAGGGATGATTGAATATAACCATCGTCCCAAACTCCCTTCACTCCATTTATTTTGCCAGCTGGCGAGGGACTGTTGACGATAAATGAATAAAAATTCGTCGTAGGCGATTTGTCGATCGTAAATATCGCCTTCCATAGCGCCCACCTTTGCAAGCGAGTCCGCCTTCTCATTGCCCGGAATCGAGCAATGAGATGGGACCCATGCAAATGTGATGACAAAAGATCTTAAAGATAAAGCACTCAGAAGCTCTCGTATTTTCATGAGAAAATACGAGGAGTGCTTTACCGGCCTCATGGAGCGAATAGCCTCGACAGAACTGAGACTATCCGTAAAAATAAAATAATGATCTGGTGCAAGTGAGGCGATCGTTTCTAGCGTATAATGTTTTGCCGCCAGTTCAGCAACATATACGGAACAAGGAGCATGAAGCATTCGAGAGGCGCTATGAAATTCGTTATAAATACCAAAACCTGCGGACGCCTCTATTAGTGATCCATCTGTGAAGAACGATCTTGCGGAATCAAGTTGGCCAAACTTTGCAGCGTAAATTGACGGAGCAATCATGGAACGATGATGCTCTGGGATTCCGCGAATCTCTTGCGTCATTGATAAATCAAAATGAACAGAACTGTCGAAGTCGGAGAAGCAAACACGATAGGGATTATGCTGCGAAGGGCTGACATCCTGTGTTATGTACACGTAGTACAATGACATAAAACGAGTTTGAGGGTTTAGCTCAAGAAGCTTCTCAAAGTTTGCAATCACCAGTGGGTTCATAATTTCACAACGGGTGAAGCCTGAGGGATAATTCCGAAAATCGATCAGAGAGTGGCAACATGCCCGCCAACACTTCTAGACTCATCGTATGAGTCGAGTGCATGCATCCTAACGCGATACGAAGACAGCGATACTGGATCCGTTCCAGTTTGATGATGTGCGTTTTAGCCGCCGACTGGAAGCAAAAACTACCGTACTCTAAAACCGATAAAATCGTTGTCCGGTACAACGTTAGAAGATCTTGCGGATGGGCTCCCCACCACGTTCCGGTAATTGTTCGGAGAAAATTGATCCTTTGTTGGCATTTCCGCTTCAGATACTCAATGTGGGATCTCCAGGTGCATTTTGAATCGAACCAGACCCCAAGATATTTGAAGGACATAGAATGAGTGATCGGTTTACCCAAAAGTTGAAGCTTTGGTTGTGCTGGGCTATGCTTCCTAGAAAAAACGACCAACTCAGTTTTCTCCGTGGAGCTGGATAGCCCAAGTAGACAAATTGTCTAAGGTATCCTGTAAGGGTCCTTGCAGGTCGGCCTCTCTGGGCCCTGTCATAGACACTACTCCGTCATCTGAAAGTTGTCTCAACGTGCAGTTGTCACTTAGACAATTGTCAATTTCTCGGACGTAGAAATTATACAAAGGGGGCTTAAACATGAGCCCTGGGGGGGACCCTTGTAACTAAATCTCGAAGCTCTAGAGTTTCCATGAGAAAAGCTCATATGTTTCTCTGACAGCAAATTGTACAAAAAGTTATTAATTAATGGAGAAAGGCCAGAACCGTGGAGTTTGTCTGAAAGGACTTCAACCGATACTGAATCAAAAGCCCCCTTAATATCCAAGAAGACAGAAGCCATTTGCTCTTTTTTAGCAAAAGTCGACTGAATTTCAGTGGAAAGCAACGCGAGACAGTCGTTCGTTCCCTTGCCCCTACGGAAACCAAATTGAGTATCTGAGAGTAGGTGGTTCGCTTAACCCATTTGTCCAGTCGAAAAAGGATCATTTTCTCCAACTATTTTCGAATACACGATAACATCGCAATGGGACGATACGAATTGTGATCTGACGCGGGTTTTCCAGGCTTTTTAATGGCTATAACTCTCACCCGCCTCCAATCATCTGGAACAATATTAAGCTCCAGGAACTGACCAAACAAGTTCAACATGCGCCTCTTAGCGACGTCTGGGAGGTTCTTCAATAAGTTGAACTTGATTCTATCAGCCCCCGGAGCCGAATCGCCACACAAAAGGAGCGCGAGTGAGAGCTCCAGCATTGAAAAAGGCTGGCTGATCTCGTCTACCGAATTCGTAGTTTCGCGAGGAATCATCTATGCCGGCACAGAATCAGGACATACTTTTCGCGCGAACTTGAGAATCCAACTATCGGAGTACTCCTCGCTCTCGTTGTTTGAAGACCGGTTACGCATCCTTCGCGCCGCATTCCAAAGCGTATTCATCAACGTTTCGCGCGATAATCCGTCCACGAATTCCCGCCAGTATCCGCGTTTCTTGGCTTTGATGAGGCTCTTGAGTTCGCGTTCAAGAGCCGAGTACGCTTCGAAATGTACGGGTGTTCCACGTTTCCGGAAAAGCTTAAACGCATCGGACGTTTTACGATAAACCTCAGTGCATTGCTGGTCCCACCAAGGGGAAGGAGGTTTCCTACGGAAAGACGTTCCTGGAACCGGCCGAGTTTGAGCTTGAAACGCGCTGTCCAAGATCAGATTGGAGAGGAAGTTATATTCCTCCAACGGTGGAAGCCCTTCTACCGACGTTAGGGCATCTTCTATCACATTCTTGAACTTTGTGCAATCGATATTACGAGTAAGATCGTACGCGACGTTAACGGGTTCTGACGGATTGATTCCCACTGGCAACTGAAACTTTGATCGGCAAGTGATCACTACCGTGGGGATCTTGGATCACATTCCCCGTGCAATCCAACGATAATGAGTTAGAGCAAAGTGTGAGGTCTAATCTACTGCCATTCGAGGATGGGCCAGTCAAACGTGTTACTTCTCCATTGTTAAGAATTGTCATATTAAAGTTGTCGCAGAGGTTATATATCAAAGTAG